CTCCCCCCCACCCCACCCCCCGCACAAATTTCATGCCTCTAGTTAAATTATAAAATGTTCAACTTCATTCAAAATAAGAGAAAGGACAACTGAAAGGTTTCAAGGTAATTCAATGAGGAAAAGATATCTTTTCACCAAAAAAGTGCTGGATAATTGGATATCTACATGGAGGGAAAAAGAACCTCTATCTTTTAAATCACATCATACATAAAAAGTAATTCAAAATTACCTAATGGCTGAATCTATAAACTTTTAGAAGAAAACATAGGAGAAAATCTTTAAGACCTTAGAATGAAGACATAAAACTTCTGATCATTAAAATATTATATATTGAACTCCATCAAAATTAAAAACTATTTGTCAATTTAAAGCATCAAGAAGAAAGGCAAGCTGAGAGAAAATATTCCAAATATACGCATCTGCTAAAAGACTTGTAGTCAGAGTATGCTAAGAACTCTTAAAACTAGTACTCATATTATGTATATCAATAAAATAATCCAACTTTTAAATGTAAAAAATATCTGGACACTTCACAAGACATATGCCCAATAAGCACATAGGAATGAGGCTCAAGGTTGGCACTAGCACTGTGGAATTGGTTTGGCACTTTCTTGACCCAGAAATTCTCCTCCTAAGTATTTACTCAAATGAAGCATATGTCCATGTTGGCATGGCTATGAGAAAAACACACTCTCAATCACTGATGACGGGAGTTTAAATTGAAATAAACTCCAAAGAAGGTGTTTGGGCATTTATCCTATATAATAAAAGGCTAATATGCAAATCGACCTAACAGCAGAACTACTGGTCACTATGATTCAAACTGGCCACCAGGGGGCAGACGCTCAATGCAGGAGCTGCCTCCTGGTCGTCAGTGCACTGAGCCAGAAGCTAGACTCACGGCTGGTGAGTGCAGTGGCAGTGGCAGGAGCCTCTCCCACCTCTGCAGCAGTGCTAAGGATGTCTGACTGCGCCATCAGTTGGACATCCCCTGAGGGCTTTGGGACTGCAGGAGGGTGCAGGCCGGACTGACAGAAACCACCCCCACCCCCACCCTCCCCAACCCCTCCCCCAAACCCCCAACCCCCCTCCCTCCCCCCCCACCCCACCCCCCGCACAAATTTCATGCCTCTAGTTAAATTATAAATGCTTTGACCTAGCAATTTCCCTCCTAGGATTTTATGCTACTGATAAACACAGCTTAAGTGGCATATTTAAAAATTATTACTGCAACATTGTTTGAAAGAGCAAAACTCAAAACATAATCTAAATGCAAGATAGGTTAAATAGTGATACATCCATACAACGGAATAATATATAACTACAAAACTGAATGGGGACCATCTATGTGCAAATATGGGATAAACCTTAAGGTTTAATGTGAATAAAGCAACATGTGTTTGTTATGTTGCAACTTGTGTAAACACACAGCCACCCACACACACACACAGAGGATACGTATTTGGATTTTCTTATATATATACACACACACACACCAAAAAAAAAAAAAACTTCTGGAAGAATAACCAAGAAACTAGTACAAAGGGTACCTGTTAGGAGGAAGATGTGGGAAACGTGGATGGAGTCAGGAGTATGAAGGACAATTTCATAGTATGCCTTTTTAATCTTTTAAACTGTTTGATCCATGTGACTACTCGCTTGTGGAGAGCAGCTACAGTGTTTGGACAGGTTCAAGCCTCAGACTAATGAGAGGGCACAGTCCTCTCACGGCCATGTGCAAGTCCCAGCTTGGAGGGCAGAGCCCTCCCAGCACAATGATAGCCAGAGGCTATACCTGTAAGCTTGAATCTATGGTCCGAACACGTGGCCCCAGGCGCCTGAGTGATATGGGCTTGATAGAGTTCAGGTGTGTGTAATTGAGTAGATTCGAAACCCACAAGAACTTTGTAAGCATGACCATAATTTGCCTTGTGGCATCTGGCTATAAAATAAAGAGATGGCTTACAGGCCGTGGCGCTGTCACTAGCTCTCCACCAGAGAGGACAGCATCCCACCCAGACCCAGCTTTCTTCTCATCTGTCCTTTCTCAATCCTTCACTGCCTCCTCTCAGGCTCACTGAACCTGGCTGAGCTGGCTCAGTACCTAGCTATACAAAATTTAAATATTTTAAAAGTAACATCAAAATAATATATTATATATTAATATGTAAATACAGCATGACTATTGTAGTATATAGGCAGTGTCTAGTCCATCAGGAGGACATTCTTGGCACACAATAACAGTTACTATTTTTATTCCCACTCATACTTCACGTTCTAGTGCCCCAAATCAGAGGTGCCCAGTTGCTTCTCCTGTCCATGCCCTCACAGGGGCTTTCCCTTCTGCCCAATGTTTTCCCCACTTCTCTCCTCACCCACGTAGCAGCATATCTCAGGCAACACCTCTTCAAAAACCCTTCTCTGATTGACACCCCCTTCCCCACACCCTGACCCTGTTAGGAACCCCTCATTCTCCTGTGGGGACTGCAAGGTCTGCTTAGTCCTCTGAAAGTCAGGGACTCTGAATCTGTGGGCTCACTTTCCTGGACTGCTGGCCTCATCAGAGTAGCAAACAGTTCCAAGATGGGATATACTGGATAGCAGAGGACTCGCTCTCCACCATACAGACACCTGAAGCTTTCAATTTCCCCCGAACACTTATGTTGGTCCTCCCACGCCCAGAGACTGAGGAGTTTCAGTTTTCTTTAAGCGTTTACAGGAAAGGGCCTGCCTCTTGTAACACTTGGTGAGCCTTGTGTAGCCGTGGAGGGAACAGAGGTAGATCTCTCACACATGAAGCTCATGGTTCCACCAGTGCAGGCACTTTTGCAAGGAACTGACTCAGACCGTGGGAAATGGACATAATGAGCACCCCAAAGTGAAGGGGAAGCCCAAGTGAGAGGGAGGAGGACAGTGCCCCATTATGCCTCAGAGAGATGGGAGTATGGCTGGCTGGGATGAATGGGAAGGCTTTTGAATAGACAGCCTGGCCCTCTAGGTGAATGGAGAGGGGCAGGGCAGGGACAGCAGGCTGAGGCTTGGCCCTCTAAAAAGGGTCTTTGGAGCTGCAACCTGGACCTGACCCCGGTGGGTGTGCAGTCTGTGCCGGGAGGACATATTATACAAGAGGGACAAAGCCCGATGCCAAGGAAGCTGGAGAGGGTCCTGAGGAAGGCTGATGCCAGAGACTGTTCCTCAAGAGGAGGGCTCAGATTTCTATGGGGGTTTCCTCACAAGCCTCTTTAAGAAATGAGAGTCATTTCTCTTTCTTTCATCCTTCCTCTTTCTTTCTTTTTTTCCTTCCTTCCTCCCTCCCTCCCTCCCTCCCTCCCCCTCCCTTCCTCCCTCCCTCCCTCCCTCTCCTCTCTCTCTCTCTCTCTCTCTTTCTTTCTCTTCTTTCTTCTCTTCTCTCTTCTCCTTCCTTCCTTCCTTCCTTCCTTCCTTCCTTCCTTCCTTCCTTCCTTCCTTCCTTCCTTCCTTCCTTCCTTCCTTCCTTCCTTCCTTCCTTCTTTCTTCTTTCTTTCTTTCTTTCTTTCTTTCTTTCTTTCTTTCTTTCTTTCTTTCTTAGATTCATTTTTGAGGAATGGAGAAGTCAAAGGGTCCCTGGGGTTTGGGCTGGAACACTGAAGCAGAAAGCCAGGCCAGGCACCAGAGGCACCCAAGAGTAAAAAGAACAGGAAGCTGAGAGCAGCCCTGAAACCTCTCCTGAAAGTGGTGACTCCACCCTGCCTCACATTAGGTTGTTTCGGGACCAGCTCTGACACATGCATACCCCCTCTTTCCTGGCACACCTCCTGACTCTTAAAAGGAACAGAGTGCCTGCTCTTGCCCCAGAGGCTTCAAAATTCCTTGGCAGAAATGGGATCTGTGGGTAATTCACAGCATCATGAAGGTTTGGGTCAGCCTTCAGGGCCCAGGGCCCTGGCTGCAAACACTAAGGACACTGGGAACCATCCATCCCCACACCCCACTGCTCTCCAGTACATTGTAAACACATTTGTTTGAGTTTTCAAACCTCTGCTAAGAACCATAGGAAGGGCAGGGCTCCCCTTCATGCTGCCCTAGGCCCCAGCCTGGCCCATCAGGCATGCAAGTCAGAGTCAAGAGGACTCGGCCCTGTCAGGAGAAACAGGACCCATTCTTTCTCACCCCACCCCCACTGGCCTGGATCTGAATTGCAATCTGGAAGGTTGGACCTGCCTGATCTCCAGATCCCTCCAGCAGTGACCTCTTCTTGGTGGCCACCTCTTCCTCCATCCCCCAACTTCTCTGATCCCCCCACCCTGCCCCAAATACACATACACACACACTCTGGATCTGGGAGCCTGAGCCACATGCTTTGCTCCCTCATACTGGAACCAAATCAGCTGCTGCCAGGCTGTTTCTGTGGGCCCTGCCTCTCCTGTCATAGTGCTGTGTACCAATCTTAGGGTGGTTACTTAGCAGGGGATTGGAATGAGTAAAGGCTTCTCCAGAGAACCACTGTAGGTCAGAAGGGCAGTGCAGCCTGACTCAGCCTCGCCCTGCCACCAGTGTCTCCCAGCCTCCATTCATGGACTGCTGACTGGGTCTGAACCTTCTCAGGGCCTCAGTAAGCTGAGTGTAGTGCCAATGCCTCTTCCTCCATGATGCCCCTCTGGCTTGGTGCCAGACTTAGGCTGAACTGTGGATGGTCAGCCAAGGCAGCTACTTCAGGGCCTTAAGGACAGCTCCAGTTTCATGGCCATTGCTAGGTTGTCCTTTATCTTGAGTAGGGGGATAGGCATGCCGTGGGGAAAATGGGATTAGCATGTCCCACTGGAGGAGTAGAAAGTAGTGATTAAGTATTCAGGTTTTAGAACCCTGAGTTCAAATGCTATTCGCTATGTAATTGATCAAAGCCTCAGTTTCCAAACTGGGGAATGGGAATGATGATACAATCTAAATCACAGGCACACAGTGAGAAATAGGTAAGCTAATGAACAAAAAGTGCTCAGCACAAAGCCTGCCACACAGTAGGCCTACAGCATGTGCAGGGCTCTTGGTACAGGAAGCTTGGCTATCTGAGTTGTCCTGCCGAAGAGGACAGGGTAGGGAGACAGAGGTCTGGATAATCATTGTCTGCAAATGGTGCCTGAGCCCCTGACTGCTATGGGTTTACTCTAAACTGTTGGCAGGATCAGGGGTAATCTAAAAAAGAACCCAGGCCCAGCCAGCATGGCTCAGTTGTTGAGGGTCTACCAGTTCATGTTTGATTCCTGGTCAGGGCACATGCCTGGCTTGTGGGCTCAATCCCCAGTGTGGGGTATATAGGAGGCAGAGGATCAATGATTTTCTCTCATCATTGATGTTTCTATCTCTTTCTCCCTCTCTCTTCCTCTCTGAAATCCATACAAATATACTTTTTAAAAAAAAAGATAAAAATGGATCTGGGGTGGAGGGCAGGGGCTACAAGCAACCTTTGTGGGAAGGAGGGGGTAGGGAGGGCAGTTGCACCTATAGTTAGGTCCAGGAAGTAGATGCTCTGGGTGTCACTGGGAAGGACAACATTGAACTGCTAGCAGGACAACATTGAACTTGGCTGACCAGGTGGGGCTGCAGAGTGTCAGCAGTCCCTTGGCCACAGGCTGCTTCAAGCTGGGCCTAGCACCAATGTGAGGGGCAGGCAACTCAACTTTGCTCACCATCTCCAAGGTGTCTGGTGGGGGTAGTCCACAGAGTTGGGGAAGTGGCAGAGAGGGAAGGTCAATTTGCTGCCAAGGTCAGGATCACTGTGGCCTCCATACCTTCCCAGTAGTTCCCTCTTACACCCCCTTCAAGTCTGTGTTCAACTCCCTACTCTGCTAAGAAGCCACTCTTGAGTTCTCATTTTTAATTCTCAAACCCCATTTCTAAGCTATTCCAGTCTGAATGTAAATCTCTTTCCTACCATGGCCTCCACACACTTAGAGACATGTAGGCTCTTCCCACTGCCTTAGTTCTAGTCGGTTCCAGAATTGGAGTGGCCTGAAGAGATAGGCAGAGTATGGACTGCATAAAACTGCTTGCTTAAGGGAGCAAGTAGCAAAGCTCAGCCTGTGCTAGACACCAAGCTGAGTGCCCTGCTGAGCCCCCCACCCTTTGCAGGAGGCTCCTCACTTGGCCATGGGGGCAGGGTACTTCCTGCCAGTGAGTAAATGCCCCTCCCCAGGATATGAAGAGCCAGCTGCTGGAGGGGACTGTCCAGCTGGGCCCGGCCACACTGTCCTGGGGTGGCTATAGCACAGCCTCCACTGCTAGCTCCACGTGGTCCACTTCAAGCCCCCAGACCCTGGTCATGTTTTTGCTCTCCAGTTGGAGGACAGTGTAGGGATAAACAGAACTCATTCAGCACACTGTCCCAGAGCACCTTCTTTGGGCAGGCTCACGAGGCACCCCCTTGACAAGTTTCTGCTTAGAAACATGGGCACAGAATAATACAATCCAGCTGTGTGCTACTGGCAGTAAGCAACCAGGAGAGGACCAGTGAAGACATGGGGCAGTAAATTATACAGGTGAAAGGCATAATGTGCACAAGCTCAGACAGGAGAGGCTGGAACATTCTGGGACTGCAAGTTCCCTTTAGTTAAACTCTCAAGTGTGGGCTGTGAGGCTGGAGACAGCTGAGGAGATCAGGGGTAGCTGTTCCTGCTCATCTGGATTTATTCTGAGGCACAAGGAGCCCCAGAGAGGTGTATAGCAGGAAGACTTGCTTGTTGAAAAGACTCTCTTGGCTGCCATGGGGACACTGGGCTGGAAGGGGCTGAGGGTAGAGGCACAGAGACCAAAGTTGGATGTTGTTTCAAACTGCCAACAGAAATTATGTGGATCTGGTATCAGGCAGACAGGTGGCCGAGGAGCTCAGATATATTTAAGGAGGAGAACAATTCTGTAAACTATATGAAGCTATAGCAAGATACTAGAGAAAGATAACTACTGGGCTAGTCAGCTGCCCAGATGTGTGATGACAGAGAAATCAGTAAGGAGGAGTCAAAGAAGTCAGGTTTGTGGGAAGCCACAGCTTGCCAATACTGTCATGAGCATGCACCAAGGAACACAGGAGGCCAATGGCCCTTGAGCGTTAGCAGGGCTGACACTAGGCACCGATTGTTCATGTTGAGACAGTGGTAGCTTGAAGCAATCTCCTGACCTGATGGCCTCCAAGTAAATGTTTACTGGACCTTACTGATCCTTACTGACCTTTGAGACTGTCTGTCTGCTACTTGTTTGCCATGCTTTACTGAGGGTAAGATGTGTATCTAAAATTGAATAAAAAACAGATGGGGCCCCATCTTAGTGTGTCTCTTCAAGAAAGAGGCTCCACCTATCCCCCAACACCTTCTAAATTCGTATTTCTTGTATAGTATTTTCATCTGTGTGTCAGCCCCTCCTTCAGATCCTGAATCTCGCAGCAAAGGTCAAGGCAAGGTTTCTGGTATGGAGCATGAGTGTGGGTATTCGTCCAGAAGGGAACACAGCAGGTGATGCAGAATTGGGAGTAGATAGGGGAGAAATCATAATTTTTTAATACATTAAGATTGAGGTGTGTATGGCATAGCCAACTTCCCACTAGGCAGTTGGATAAATGGGTCCAGGGTGCAGGAGAGAGTAGGACTAGTGCAGAGTGGTGAAAATCATTAGTGTCCAGAGGTAGTAAAGGCCCCAGGAGGTCATAGACAAAAAGAGGCCATTGACAGAAACCTGGAAACTGAAGGGTAGGAGTAACAAGAGTGACCAGGAAGGAAAAAGGAAGCTGTGCTGCAGAGTAATGGAAACCAAGGGAAGCAGAGATTGATCTAGAGCACATGTGTCAAACACAAGGCCCGCGGGGCAAATCCGTCCCGCCAGGCCTTGCAATGTGGCCCGCACCGCGCTGTCATCACTGCACTCCGCTGCGTTTCCATCACAATGACAGTTTATGACTGTTCAGTAAACCATTCGGCCCGCGATTTAGGCTGGATTTTAGATTTTGGCCCCTTCTCTGATTGAGTTCGACACCCCTAATCTAGAGTAAGAAGGATGCTGCCAGGTGAAATAGAGGAAGGACTGAAAAGTGCCCTCTGTATTAGCAAGAGGGAGTTCACTGAGTGACTGTTTTAGGAGCCTGAGGGAAGCTTAGACTAAGAACAGGGGGAAAGGAAGGAAGGGAAGGAGAGAGAGGCAGAAAGGCAAGAAGAAGAGAGGATGAATGGATAAAGTGAGCCAGGTTCTGGGCCAGAGGATTATTGGTGTAAGGATAAACCTCAGACAGAGAAAGTAGATACTTCCAACATGGCAGGAAAAATAGCACAGCCCTGGCTTGTGTGGCTCAGTTGGTTGGAGAATCATCCCGTACAATGAAAGGTCATGGGTTCAATTCCCGGTCAGGGTACATACCCAGGTGGAAAGCAACCAATTGATGCTTCTCTCCTCTTTCTAAAATCAATGGCTGAGAGCTTCCTGGAAGATGGCGGTCAGGTAAACACTTGTACATGCTGCCTCTCACAACCATATCAGTGCTGCAAATGGGATCTTACCTGAGACCTGAAAAAAACCACAACTGTGGGGTCCCCGACCAGTGCAGACACGCGGATTCCACAGAAAGGTTGGATTTTGCCGGGGATAACATGGGGTGTCTTGTGTTCCAACAGCGAAAGCGGCAGCCGCAGAAGCTGCGGCCGCTGTGGCGGCAGAGGCAAAAGCAAGCGCGCTGGGACCGCGGAAATCTGTCCACAAAAGCCCCCCGCTGTTGGGTCTGGTGTGATTTGAGAGAGTGGAGGGGGGTCCCCAAGATTGCTAATAGTGGGGTTCTCTAAGGAGCAACCCATTCTGATCTGACACGGAGGGAGAACAAAGGCATTGGAAAGCAGTCTGTTTGTAAGTGCCCACAGACTAGCCCATCGCGTACCTAGGCTGGTTCCCCTGCAGCACTTTGCTTCTGATTACAAAGGAGAGATCACCCAGGTCAGCTGGCCCTAAGAGACAGCAGGGGGAAACTGCTTTTCTGGAAGCTGAGAAGCAGAGCAGGGAGAAATCATCCAGGATTCAGCTCCGAAGCAAACAAACAAACAAAAAAACCGATATTGAGTGCCATAGAAAAAGAATGCTAGAGCAGACAAAAAGACGGGGACATCAATCCAGAAACACTGCCACCTAGTGTCTGGAGTAAAATCAATGGAAACATCCTTGGGTGAGGATTAAAAAACAAAAAAGCACACATGTCCATGATTTTGAAGGGTGATGCTGGAGGAAGATAAAAGAGTTCTAGTTCTAGACTTTTCTCCTGAGGCTTAGGAAGCAAAGCCTGCTGCAGAAACTGATAGGCAAGGGTGGGAGGCTGGACCAAGGCAGTGAGTGGTAAATCAGCTGGCCTGGAGCAGCTAAGGAGAGTCTATCAAGTAAGAGGTGGGGAGTTTTCAATCCTTTCAGATGAAATGTAGGCAAAAAGGAGAGTGAGAAAGAGAAATGTATACCTGAACCAGGGCCTAGGGAGTTGTGCAGGCTTTCCTGAGATTTCATTTTAACCAGAGGCACTGATCCCACTTTACCAGCAGCCAACTGTGCCATTTAGGGAAATGGCCCCTAAATGATTTTAACATCTTGGTGTGAGACTGACTCCCCCTAAACTGTCTCTCAGTTTTCTGCACAGCAAAAAGAAAAAAAAAAAAATTTAAGAGGATAGTTTAGGAAACTTCTGGGACAACAAGTATAAAATATTTGCATCATAGGGGTTCCCGAAGTAAAAGAGAAAAAGAAAGAAATTGAAAATCTATTTGAAGCAATAATGATTGAAGTTTCCTGACCTGGCAAAGGAAATAGACACACAAATCCAGAAAGGGCACAGTCCCAAACAAGATGAATCCAAAGAAGCCCACCCAAGACACATCAAATTAAAATGCCAAAGGTAAAAGACAAAAAGAGAATCTTAAAAGCACCAAAATAAAAGATAATCTGATATCACAACAAAAACTTTGCAGGCCAGGAGAGATTAGCACAAAATATTCCAAGTAATTAAAAGCAAGTACCTACAACCAAGATTATTTTACCCAGCAGGACTATCATTTAGAATCAAAGGAAAGAGAAAGTGTTTCTAAGACAACAAAAAGCCAAAGGAATTCATCACCACCAAACCAGTATTATTGAAAAAGGTTAAAGAGAATTCTTTAAGTGCTACGACCTTCACGGCAGGGTTCAGGATCTGAAGGAAGTCCTCCCACCACGACCCCCTGGTCCTGTCTGCGGCAGCCTTGTTCCCACCGCCACTGCTCCCATGTGCTGACAGTGCCAGCCCTGCTTGCATTTGCTGATGGCACAGAGAAATTGGGTGGGTGCAAGAGGCAGCTCTGGCACCAGCTACAGGTGTGATCAGGGCTGGCACTGGCAGTGGGTGTGAAAGGTGGCTGCTGACCCCATCTCCCCTCAGGAGCAGGGAGAGGTGGAGAAGCCATCACTTGCTGTCAGCCATCACTCGCACCCACTGACAGTGCCTAGCAATCAGAGCCGACACTGGGCACTAGCAGCAGGTACAAGCAGCTGCTCTGGTGCCAGGCAGTGGGTGTGAGTGGGGCCAGTGCCAGCTGCAGGTGTGAGTGCCAGGTGAGAGCAAAGAATTTTTAGTAACCATCAGAAGCTCACCCCAATGACAATGACCAGCACCCCATCTTGGTCTGGTGCCCCCACTCACCTGATCCACCATTCTGTTGCAGCCAATGCCCACCATATTCTGCACTCTGCTGCCTGCTGCCTATACCCAGTATGTGTGTGCCCCTGGTGTTCAGCACACATCATTAGTCACTGGTTGTGAGGTTGTTTGGTTGTTCTGCTGTTTGGTTATTTGCATATTAGGGTTTTATAGATAGATAGATAGATAGATAGATAGACAGACAGACAGATAGATAGTATTGGAAGCCAACACAACAATCAGATGGAAGGAAGGAAGGAAAGAAGCTATAGCTCTCAGCCCACCTCCCTATATTGGACACGGCACCCGCACATAGGCAGGGGTCGGTTGGAGTCTGAAGGGCATCCCTGAATTTCCACATCAGGGTTCTTTACACAGCCCTGGCCTAGCCCACCTCTCTGAAGTGGCCAGCCAGGCTCTAATTGATGGCTGCCTACCATATAACAATACTATATAGGGAACCTGTATAAGATTAAAAAAAAAAAAACACCTATTAGAATAAGTGAATTAAGTAAAGTCGTTGTATATAAAACTAATATTCAGGCATTGGTTACATTTTAATACACCAATAACAAACTATCAGAAAGATAAATTAAGAAAATCCAAGCCCTAACTGGTTTAGCTTAGTGGATAGAGCATTGGCCTGTGGAATGAAGGGTCCCAGGTTCAATTCCAGCCAAGGACACATCCCTGGGTTGTGGGCTCGATCCTCAGTGGGGCATGCAGGAGGCAGTTGGTCAATGGTTCTCTCTCACCATTGATGTTCCTGTTTCTCTCTTCCTCTCTGAAAATCAATAAAAATATATTTTAAAAAGAAAAAAGAAAATCCCATTTACAACTGCATCAGAAAGAATAAGATAATATAGGAATAAATTTAACCAAGGAAGGTAAAAGAACTGTACTTGGAGTACTATGACATTGAAAAAAAGAAATTGAATAAGATATAAATAAATGAAAGCATATACTGTGCTCATGGATAGGAAGAATTAATATGGCTAAAATATCTATACTACCCCAAATAATCTAGAGATTCAATGCAATTCTTATCAAAATACCAAAGGCATTTTTCACATAATTAGAACAAAACAAAAAGATAACCTATTGAATGGGAGAAGATATTTGCCAGTGATGCATCCAAGAAAAGGTTAATAGACAAAATACATAAGAAACTCATATATACAACTTGACACACACAAAAAAAAACCCCACACAAACAATCCAATTAAAAAATGGGCAGAGGACCTAAATAGACAATTTCTCCAAAGAAGACACAAATATATGAAATAATGTTCAAAGTCACTAATAATCAAAGAAATGCAAATTAAAACCACAATAAGATATCACCTGTCAAAATGGCTATTATTAATAAATCAACAAACAAGTTGGTGAGGATATCCAGAAAAGGGAACCCTGTGCACTGTTGCTGGAAATGCATATTGGTGCATCTGTTACCTAACTCAAGGAGTTCACAGCTTGGGGTGCATTGATTATCTTTAGTTTTATTTACTTACAGCAAGTAAAGGAGACAGGAGATTCACAACCAAAGCTATATCTCCCTGATGGTAGGCTTAGCTATTGCTTAGATACACTACTAGTGACCTGGTGCACGGATTCATGCACATTGAAAGGAAATTAATTAGAAGAAATATTGTAATATCACTAGTCACCCTTTGTCTATAATAGAAGTTCCAGAGATGAAAGAAAATTAGTAAAATGTACTAATATATGAAAACAATATATAAATTGATCAATAAATAAACAATAATAACATGATATAACAACAACAAAGACATGATATAAAACAACAGTGATAAAAACACTGACTGGTAAATTGATTAAACTTATCCTAATATCTCCCTGTATATCACAAACACTTTCAGATTGCTTGACTAATTTCCCTTGTGATGAAGTATTTACTAATACAGCTTTAACTTTAACATCACATGCTCTTCGAACTTGAGAGAAAGTAACATATAGCTGACCATGCTGAAAACAGGTTTAGGTAGGAATATTCCTACTCTTGTCTAGAGTTTGTCCTTGTGATTTATTAATAGTCATTGCAACTGCTGGCATAATGGGAAACTGTATTTGAATTAATTTAAATGGGAGGCCAGTGTCAGACATGGACAAATCCTTGGAATCAGAACAAACTCTCCTTCTACAGATCCTGTTAATATTTCAGCTTTGATAATGTTAGGTTGCAATATTTTGATAATAAATCTCATACCATTACAAAGATCACATATACTATTAATATTTCTCAGTAGCATGATGATTACACCTACTTTCAATTTTAATTTATGACATGGCATTCCTGAAGGAGTAATACTATTAAGAAATTCAATGGGAAATTTTTCCTTTTCGGCATCATCCATTGAATCAATGGAATCATCACTCAAATAGATGTGAAAATTTCTATCCAGTGTATCTAAAATTTCTTCATTTAAATTATGAAAGTGATCATTTTTTGGACAAAGAATCATGTGTAAAGATATAGTTTTAATATTATCTATAGATATACTATTTCCAATGGTAGCTTCAATAATAGATCCATTACAAATCATTTCCACAAAAACAACCAAATTCACGATCGATAATAATAGATGGAAACACATGCATGCAATTGGCACCAGCGAGAACTTTATATGTATCGCACATGTGCAAGTCAACATTTATTTTTAAATTGCCAGTGTGCGTTGTATGTGCCTGCAGGACAGTCAGTAAGATGGTCAGTCACTTAGCCTTTTATATAGATAGATTTGGTTAATTAAATGTTGATTTCTTCTTTGCAGTTGGCTACACTTAATATGGCAGGGTTTCTGTCAAGCTCATCCTGTGTACAGCTGCTTCTGCAAATATTGGGCTACATTTTAGCACTTAGCAAGAATGGCATTTAGTAAAAACACCCAGACCTTGAGACCCTTGTCCTGTCTAACATAGCCACTATGGAAAACAGTATGGAGATTCCTCAAAAAACTAAAAATAGAACTACCCTATAACCCAGCAATCCCAGTTCTGGGTATATGCCTGAAGAAATCCAAAACACTAACTCAAACTGTTATATACATATCTATGTTCATTGCAGCAATATTTACAATAGCTACAGTATGGAAGCAACTTAAGTATCCATTAATAGGCAAATATATAATGAAATGGTACATACATACTCATAGTCCCACCCATACCACTGGCTCTTCAAAGGTTGTCACACTCTTCAGGCATGGGGTAGACTGATGCCTAGAATAATCTACTGCTTTGCTCAAAGTGGCCCTCAGGCAAAGTGAGGCCCAGGTGCCAGCTACCAAATTCTGCCCTGTGAAGTGCTGCCTACCAGGAGCTGGTTGCTGATCTTGAGCTTCTCCATCTGGATTGTCCACAGAGGCCTCTTGAGCAGGGCCTTGGTCATGACATTCTGGGCCAAGGTTGTGTTCAGGTCCTTTACAGTCATCACTGACAATACTGGAGCCCTAAACTGGACATTGGCCCCCACGAAGAGCACGGCCCCATTCTTAGGTTGGGGGCAGGGGGCATAAAAGAGGAAACTTTCAAGGGGCTGAAGCTGCAGGGAGATCAGACCCAGAGACCAGCTTGATTTACCTACCTGGTCACTAGACCCTATTGGACAAAATGGTGTCCCCAAGTACATGGGGTTGGAGCAAAAATGGGCTCCCAGCCTCTAGCCTCGATTTTTCTGCTCTCCTCTCTACCCCCCTTCTCTTGCCTCTGATGGCTACTCACAGGCCAAGGTACTGGCACCCAGAATATACTCTGCACAGCCCCCATTCTCTCTGTCCAGAGAGCCAAGAAGCCCCTCACCTCGCATGGAGGGACACTGAAAGCTCGTGTCCTCTTAAAGGAGTCAATAAAGGCAGGAGCAGAACCATGCCAGGCTCTTGAGGGGTACTGGTCCAGCCCAATAGAAACACAATCATCTGATCATAGGTGGGCACAATCTGCTCACAGTGGCAAAGGGAGGGTTCAGTGTGGTGAGCCCAGATTGGCATTGATGTCTGCCCAGGGCCCTCCCTTACCTCTCTCCCCCTTGCCCTGGGTAATGTCAGGTATACTTAAACTGTTCTTACATGAGAAAACAAGGCTCTGAGGGGTTAAATGACTTTCTCAAAAATCACAGTCCCTAACTGAAATAGGCAAGATCTGAATGACTCCAGAGGCCATGCTCTCCACTACCACACTGTATTGACTTGATCCTCAGAGAAACTTTTCTGTAGTCTGAAACTAGATATGACTCAAACCAGAAAACTGTCTTTCCTTGAATTAGTTAGGATCAAATTCTGGGCTGCTCTACCAGCAACCCTAAGCAAAGGGCTTTGCCAACTTCAGGTGCTGGAGTCCTCAAAGAAGTAAATACATCTACATTGAGAACTGAAGGCCCAGAAAAGTAAAGTGACTTGCCCAAGCTCATAGTATTTGTTTCAGTGGCAGTTTTAGGAGTAGGATTTAGGACTTTCTAAGGACTTTTTTCCAGACTACACCAAACCCTAAGTCTTTCTAGAAAAATAGACCATGGCTTAGGGCTGCACAAAGAGCAGGGCCTGCCTGGGTTTCCACTTCACTGCAAGTGTGTGATCCTCAACTATAGTTCATCCTTTTCCCATCTGCAGACACCCCCTATAGAAACAAGGCTTGAATTCCTTTCACTCATTATCTACAAGGCCAATTTTGCTTTTTATTTTTATTTTTTAATATATTTTATTGACTTTTTACAGAGAGGGAGAGGGAGAGTTAGAAACATTGATGAGAGAAAAACATCAATCAGCTGCCTCCTGCACACCCCTACAGGGATGTGCCCTCAACCAAGGTACATGCCCTTGACCGGAATCGAACCTGGGACCCTTGAGTCTGCAGGCTGATACTCTATCCACTGAGCCAAACCAGTCAGGGCTACGGGGCTAATTTCAGTGTTTCCCATTTCCAATTTAGCCTAATCCAAAGGCAGGAAGGTTTGGCAAAGAAATCTGTATGCACCTTAACACTATTGTCCAGAACCCAGGACTTGGGAGTTTGGTTCCTGAGTGACTTTGGACAAATATGAGCCTGTTTCCTCAAATGAAAGATGTGTCCTAGTCCAGCCCATTTCACAGAAGTATGATAATATACTTAAGGAAAGAGAACAAAAAGTTCATCTATCAATGCTCAGTATGATCCAATCACCCTGGGGCTGTCCCGGGCAAACCAGCCAGAAATGGGGAAGGTGACCACCAGCAGCAAGAACCCAGGAAACTGATGAGGCTGTGGTAGAGGCAGGAAGACCAGGTGTGAGGTACATCTGGGGCAAGAGAACAAAGGCAGTCAAGGAACACCAATCTGCTGGCCAGACAGCAGCAGGCACAGTGAACATTTTGCCCACCTCCCTTCCTTCTCAGAGCTCTGTCTGCCTCCTTGCCTAATACTCCCCTATCTTTGGGTAAGTGCTAATTAAGGACTATTCCCTCTTCCCACACATCAAAATTAATCTCTCCCAAGTCCAGTCTTCACACGGCTTTCTCTGCTGGACAATGGTCATTGGATCTGAGAAACAAAACCATGTGATGTCCTCCTTATTGGGCTGAGCAGGAATCAATCTTCTTGTCTGATTTATATTAACTTGGTAGAGAGCCAGGATTGGGTGGGAATTTGTAAAGACAGGTTGGGTTGAAGTGAATGCTCCTCTATCATAAGCCTGAGAAGTGTTCTTTCAAGGAGTCCTTTTGCCTAAAGAGATAAGGCATTAATGGCTCACCAATCAATAAGAGCCACAGGTGATGACTAAGTTGTTCTTTCCTAGTTCACAATTCTTTACCCCCTGAGGGTAATCAAATACTTGCTTTAGTTGAAGAGCTTCAGGGGGAAAGTGGGGAAGAGAGGAACTAGGAAGATGAGGCTCACCTCATGGCCCCTGCAGAAAAGGAACCCTTGGATGAGGTAGCTGTCATTACAGGAGGGTTAGGGGAGGGGCCAAATGCTCCAGTGTTTGGTTTTCAGGCTAGGCCACTAGGGAGTGTGAGATCTGAAATATGGGATTCAAGGCTTTGGAGCAAGACAGGGCCAGAGTTGACACACAGGCAGCTGAGAGGGTTTTTTGGTCTGGAACCTCCACCAGGAAACAGAGAGGTGCTCAAGCTCAGGGAATCTAGAGGTGCGAGGGGACAGAGGGGATTCTGCCACTCCTTAGCAGCAAGTGCCCTTGGCAAGCAGATGATCTTCTATGCCTAGACCTTGGTTTCTTTCTCGTCAAAATGGGAACTTGCAACCTCACCGAGGCCTAACGGGCTGAGCCAAGAGGAATGAGGTGTGTGGGAGCGGATGGAGGGGGGCTTTCTTGGAAGATGAGAACTGAAGGCAGCAGCCCCCAAACCCCAGAAGGGTAGATCGGTGCCAGCATCCCAACTTCCGGTACAGGCCCCTCTCCACGTAGCGTTTCCTCTCGCTCCCTCCTCATTGGGAGCGACTACGCCAGACCATCCTACTACTCACAGGCACAGAGCTCGGGCCTGGCGATGCCATCCGGCCCCCAACACTCACCAGCCCCCGGCCCCCCGCCGCCCCGCTCCCGGAACAAGCGGCCCTTCTGGGAGCCCAGGAAGCCGAAGTTCGACTGCGGGAAAGAGTCAACGTCCCCAAGGGTAGCGCCGGGTACCCAGACAGGAGGAGCAGCGTTCTAAACACAAGTCTAGCCAGTGCCGGAAGTGATCTGCCGGCCTCCGCCCCGCCCCTCCAGGCCTGGGCTTCGGGCTTCTCGGGAGATCCGGCTGCCTCCCGCAGTCGCACATCGCCACCTGCGCTAGGAGGACCGAACTGCGGACACGGGGCTGGGAGGAAAGGTGGTCCTTGCCTCCTCCTGCTTGCTACCTCTGGGCTTTGGAAAAGGATCAGGAGGGAAATTGGCTTTGAAAGGGATTTTTCAGGAACTGAATCTTATCCAGAATCAAGGAACTTGTACCATTCCCTCTCCAAACTCAAATATTAGCGGTGGGTGGGGTGGTAAAGAAAGTATGGAGGCTTATCTAGAATTACTAATGTTTCTCCAGGGCATATTCAGCAAATTATTGCACTTTGTGTACCCACAGCCCAGCAAGCAGAGTCTGGCACAGAGTGGATCTCAGTACTTATTTGTTGATAGGTCACTGTAGTCAAGGTGGGGCGGGAGGACCTGGACTTTGGCACAAAAAGAGAAAATTTTCATGTGAGACCTCAGGGAGCACAGCAAAGTAAGGAACGAGGAGTTAGCACAGAGTTAATGACGGGGCAGACCCTCCGGAACATCTAGAGGTGAGATTTTCAGTCCTTAGATCCAGAAACAGCATATCTCTTGATCCAGTTACCCAGAGGTAACTTGTCTCTCCATGGTTTGAGAAAATCCAAATGCAAATGGGGAGTTTACTCTGAGAAACATAAACTTCTAATAGGGCATTGAGGCAAGCTGTCTTCCAAAATGAGCAGTGATTAATAAAACTTTTCTTGTCACAGCCACATGCTAGTTGCCTCCTCATGCCCCTCAGCCTCTCAGCAATAGCCCAGTTCCAGGTCCCTCCTGCAGATAGCTGCTCACCATCTTTGGTTTTTCCTAGTTTGATGGCCTGATTCTAAAACCCTAGGGCCTAGGGGTACTGATGGGGCTGGAAGTTAGGGCAGGCTCCTGAAGGCTCTCCCACTCCCATACATGCCTTCAGACTATAAGCCTTTACAAGAGCACAGCCCTGTCACCACCCCTCCTGGTCTGTTCCAAGCTGGAACAACACAGAATGGGTACACAGTGGTTGGGATGGTTTGAAATTTGAAGCCAAAGATCCTGGCTCAGGGAGGCTACCTGGAGCTGTACTTTCTCCCTCACCAACTGGGGGTCTGGCATACTTTTCTGCTGGACAAAAGCTAACTTGCTCTCTCTCCTCACTCTTCATACCCTGTCACCAGCTTTCCCCCATCTTTTGGCATCGTCCACTGCCTAAAATTCACCAGCTTTTCCAACTGTCACCCAAGGCATCATCCTGTTCCCCTCATCTACACTCAGTGTCCTCCTAGTGTCTCTGACTCAGGTCCCTCTTGCATCCACAGCCACTATCCTAGATCAAGCTACCTGCCCCTAGGTTGTCAGAGTGACTTTCTAACATGCACAGCGAATCACATTGTTCTTAGGTACCAAACTGACTACAGTCCACAAAACTGGCCCATCTCCTTAACTAAGATCTTGTCCCAGTCCTTTCTAGGCTGACATTGTTCATGGGTCCCCTCTTAAATCCTGTTTCAAAACTTCATGCCTTTTCACGCACTATTTTCTCTGTTTAAAGTGTTTTTCCAATATTTGAGTCCCTGGTGAATTCCCACTGTTCCAAATCCCAGCTGAGGAACCTCCTGTCCAGCCAGTCTCAATGCTGTGTGAAAATCTCCTTTTGGGGCCTGTCCTTCCACTTGATCTGGGTGGGATTCTTCCAAAGCACGGGCCATGTTACTCATCTCTGCCCCAGGCTCCCAGCTCGGGGCTAGCAAAAAGCTGTGCCACTGTGAGCTGCTGAATGCCCAAAGCCCAGAGCGGGGCTGCCTCCCTCGTGTCAGCTCTGACACTTGCCTATTACCAGGACTCAGTGCATCTACTGTTCTCTCTCTCCCTCCAACCTGTCATGGGCGTGTCTTCCAAACCCACAGTTTGGCCTCTCCGCCCCTAGAACCGCCCCCAGTTACGGTTTCACTTCCTTTCCAGTGACTGTCCCAGAACTGGCCCTCCCCTTTCGGACAGCTCCGGAAATTCAGTCCTCTGGAGCGTGAGTCTCCTCCAGCTTCTCTCGCCCCTCCAAGATCAAAACTGAGAATGGAAACTGCGCCGGGATCCATGCAGCCGGAGCCTGCACCCGCCCGATCGGGGACCCAGCAGGACTCTACGCTGCCCTCCATGTCCACCATGCCTCCCCCGGAGTCTCCCTCCGAAAGCCAGCAGCCCAGCCCCGACCACAGCCCCACAGAGGTACTACTGGGTTTGGGGAGATGGGGTTTAGGCTTTGTTAATTTGCTGTTATGGGAGGAAAGGTGAGAAGGTCTGGTCAAGTACACAGAAGGAAAAGACCAGACCCTCTTGGCTCGAGTAGGAATAGAGGAGAGGAGATGAAAAAAAGATCACCGGGATGAGTCAAGGGAGCCTCTCTGGGCTGCTATTCTCCATTGAACGAACAGTGGCACCTCGGACCGGACTCCTACCCGCGCTGGCAATAAGCCTCTTTGCCCCTGCTCTGAGGAGGCCCAGAGTAATTGCCCACGCCTGGCATGGCTCTTGCAGGTGGTGGAGCGGGGGAGGCGGGGGTGGAGGGCGGAAGCGGGTGGAGTGGGGGAGATGGCGGAGAGTGCTCATGTTGGGGAAAACGAAACCCAAGTCCCGGATCCGAACCGAGTGGTGAATCATTAATGGCCTCGCAGCTCCTGTGGTTTCTTCTCCAGGAAGCCTTCCAGATACTTCTCCTGGACACCTTGCCCGCCCAACCCCCTTTCCCCAGGCAGGTATTTTTCCTGGAATCTTTCCCTTAGTCTTTTCCTAACAAACCCCAGCCTCCCACCCCAAAAAGGAGCTTATTAGATCACTTGCTCTGTGTTCTTCCAGGCCCTTTTAAAAGCAAAAATAACACCAGTTGCAGAAATCTGTATTATTTACATAAGTACAGCTAGGAATAATATTGCTTAATATCACTAGTTAACTCTATGAGCACTTATCATGTGCCATGCACTGTATTAAGTACTTCTTTTGCATTTTAAAAATTGTGGTAAAATATACACAAGATTGCCATTTTAACCATTTCTAAGTATATATTTAGTAGCATTAAGTACATTCACAATGTTGTGTAACCCTCACTACCTATTTTCAGAACTTTTTCATCACGTCAAACGAACTCTATACCCTTTAACCAATAACTCATAATTCCTCTCCCTCTAGCCCCTGATAATCTGTAATCTACTTTGTCTCTGTGAATTTGCCTGCTCTAGGTATTTTATATAAGTGGAATCATATATTTGTCCTATGTCTGGCTTAGTTCATTTAGCATAATGTCCTTCCTTAAATATGAAGGCTGAATAATATTTCGTTGTATGTACTTCATTTTGTTTATCCTTTAATGAACACTTGGGTTGTTTCCACCTCTGGCTATTGTGAATAGTGTTCTCCTGAGAATGGGGATATATATATATATATATATATATATATATATATATATATATAAAATCTGTATCTGTGTGGGTCAGTGGTTTCAGTTCCTTTGTATATATGTCTAGGAGTGGAATTGCCAAATCCTATGGTAGTTCCTCCAAAAGGTAGTTTACCTTTATGAGAAACCACCAAACTTTATAGAAGGTTGATACTTAATGTATCTCTTTTCTAAACCGAATGTATCTCTTTTCTAAACCGAGTTCAGTGATAGTAGGGGTAGAGGTATCCTATTTATCTTTGTATCTCAGGGCCTGGTATTGTGTCTGATGGGAAGTAGATACCCAATATATTGTGGAATTAGAGTGGGAAGGCCTGAGTAAATGGGGAGTTGAAATACTCGTAAGCCTGGATTTTCATCAACCAGTGACTGCCTGGAATGAAATATGAAGTCCCATTCCAGCCTCCAGCCATGGGGGCAGGTGACCTATGATGGTGGTGGGAGGTGACTACTGGGATGTAAGATCTCACCCCTCTCCTCTCCCCCAGCAAACTACTGAGGAGGAGTTCCAGTTCCTTCGCTGCCAGGGCTGTCAGGCAGAAGCCAAGTGCCCCAAGCTGCTGCTTTGTCTGCACACAGTGTGCTCAGGATGCCTGAAGCCCCCGGACATGCAGTGTCCTATCTGCCAGGCGTCCCTTCCTCCTGACGCTGATGGACTGGTCCTGGATAACATCTTTTTTGAGAGTCTGCAGAGACGCCTGTCAGTGTACCAGCAGATTGTGGACGCGCAGGCCGTGTGCACCCGCTGCAAAGAGCCCGCAGACTTCTGGTGCTTCGAGTGCGAGCAACTCCTCTGCGCTAAGTGCTTCGAGGCGCACCAGTGGTTCCTCAAGCACGAGGCCCGGCCCCTGGCAGAGCTCCGCGGCCAGGCGGTATGCCAGTTCCTGGATGCCACGCGCAAGTCCAACAACATCTTCTGCTCCAACTCCAACCACCGCAACCCTACACTGACTAGGTGAGCCGGTGAGTGTCTGGCTCATCCAAGAGCCAGGCAGCGGGTGCATGGGGAGGGATCTGGACTCACAAAGCTGAGAATGTGGGACAAGGAGTTTCTTGTAACTCCAGGTGTGGTGCACAAACAAGCAGATCAGTAGTGATGATCACAATTTACCAGTATGCTATGTCACCTAGTGGATAGTAATAGTTTCCTCCTATAGTAAATAATACTGCAGAATCATCTTTGCGCCCTATTCTGTAATTCCTCTGTGATAAATTTTTAGAAATGCCATTACTGGGTTAAGGGGGCATGAAAAATTTTACATTTTGATACATGCTACCTTTTAGAAAGTGAAATTTTACATAAGCACTCTAATGGAATCTATATAGCTGGATTCTAAGATGGGAGAGATGCAGGCAGTTTCTGTCTGAAAAGTTAAAACCTAATCACCGCGCTATCTGGGAATGTATGTATGGAAAAAATCAATTCCAGTTAGCATTATTTTTATTAAACAGCATAAGATTTCAATTATTTTAAAAAATAAATAATATTATTTATATAGTTCAAAAATTACAAACAAAACTTATGTGGGGAGAGCTCAGTCTCTGTTTCTCTTTAAAATCTGCCTAATCCCTACCACTTCTTTCTCCTCCCATCCAAATAATCATTGACACTAGTTCTGAATGTTTCCAAAGTTTCTTTGTGAGTATATAACAGAAGTTACCGTATTTTTCGGACCATAAGGCGCTCCGGACCATAAGACGCACCAGTTTTTAGAGAAGGGAAATGAAGAAAAAAAGATTCTGAAACAAATAGTGTCCTAAAATATTTTATGTGCATTAAAACCCAACATCACAGTCATAAACACATGTAATCAACCCTGTAAAGTAAACAGCAGCATTTAGAACCATTTTAGAGGCGGGCAAGCACACAGAGACCACACAGAGCCGGGCAAGTAAAAAAACCTTTTTTTTAAAGTATATGTGTAGGCTATATTTGGACCATAAGACGCAGGGACTTTTTCCCCCCACCTCTGGGGGGAAAAAAGTGCATCTTATGGTCCGAAAAATATGGTATATAGTCTTTTGAGGTCTTATTTATACCCCTTTTGGACAAAAAAGTAGCATACCTATGTGAACTTTGGGACATTGTCCCCCAGTAAATTTCTTATGTATTGTGTGCTTGTTCTTGGGGATGTAACTTTAAAGTGAAGAATAGGAGACACTTTGAGAACTGCATTCCTGCTGAGCTGACTGTGGCTCACTTTCAGCTTAGGAGGCTTACCACCCGCACTTCCCACTGCCTCTCTTCCAAACCCCTGCCTCCCCTCCCCCCACCTCCCCCTTCCAATTCCTCAACAGTGATATTATCATTTGAATTTGGATTTCTTTGCTTAGTTTTAAGGTTGAAGTTCAGCGGCTTTTCATATGTTTGTTTACCATTTTTTTCTTCATTTGTGAGTTTCCTATTTGGATCCTTTGCCTTTTTTCCCCTTGGAGAAATTAATCTCTTTAATTGTAGGAGACTGTTACAGTGCATGCACAATACTTCACACAACCTAAGGTATTGGCATTTAAGTTTTTAGTTTTATGTAGTCTAATCCATCAATCTCCCTTTATAGAAAGGACGGGGAACCTTTTTTTCTGCCAAGGGCAATTTGGATATTTCTAACATTCAAGGGCAATACAAAATTATCAACTTAAAAATTAGCCTGCTATAGTTGGTCAGACATTTAATCAACTCACCCCTAATGCCTTGACAAGGCCAGACCAAACGGTTTCATGGGCCTCATACAGCCCACTGGCTGGACATTCCCACCCCTGCTTATTCTAGCTTTGGTTATCCTAGGAAAGATTTCCCCCCCCCATACCAATGTTTAAAATATTTTCTTATATTCTATTTTAATAATTGTATATTTTTATTTTTATAATTAAATCTTTAATTCAAATAGTATTTATTTTTGTGTGTGGTGTATATAAGGTAGAAACCTTCACTTTTTCTCTCCAAGTGAAAAGCCAGTTTTCTCAACTTTCATTGAGAGATTTTAATAGTCCACTCTTGCCCGATTTGAAATGCCCTTTTAATCATGTACTAAATGCCCATGTAGTTATGCGTATGTTTGTAAGTCTTTGTTCTGTGCCAGTGATCTCACTATTCCTCTGCTAATCCATATGCTGTGGCTTTGTATCTGATAGAGCAAGTTCCCATTTTTCAAAATAACTTACTTTTCTTATGCAGTTTCAGAACTTACATATTCATTGAGATTTTGATTGAAATTGCAGTACAAATGGGGTGAATTGCCTTCATCTTTAGTTATATCTTTT